TCCCGTTTTAATGGAACGTTTTATCGCGGTAATAAACAAGCAGAAAGTTACTTTACCTGCCGCGCTCATCACGGGTCTGGCTGTACGTGGACTAACGCTCGACGATCTCATATTAGCCATGACATTTAAGCTGTTACTACTACCACTATTGCTAAGAGACATCAAGGAGCGTTTATACGTCGCGTCCAAGTTATTAAGTAGTATCTCAGCCTGCTCTGGAAAGTGATTTTTAAATGCCCAGTATGATCTATAAAAAATGATAAAATTAATTATTAAATTGATCTAAAATGAAGGCAGGCATCATTAGAATCCGAACTACAAAGGAACTCACTTCCTGGCGAAGACTCGTGCTTCTGCGTCAGAATCCGCGATGCCCTTTTTAAGTGCATCCGGCAATATTGTTATATGCTTCTGCAATATCTGCGTAGGCCAGGTCTGCAGGATTAAAGCCAAATATTCCCAAGACGCCCTACGAATATCTCTGCTCTTGTTGCTCACGCATGATATAATGATAGGCACATATCGAGTACAGTGGGTATTTTGAAGGATAAACCGAACTGCCACCGCTCCGGCTGTCGCTATGACCTAGTTGAAAATGGCAAGAGTAATTAAATTCTTACCTCTTATGGAAATTACATAAAAACTAACGGACACGCGAACGACGTGAAACTCTACGAGGTATGACGTTCGTCGTAAAGATGTGCAATTAGACTCGATACAGTAATTTAGACAATAATTGTATCTAAATGTAGCAGCGATCTAGCATTCCGTGAGACTTACCTTGGCACTGTTCTGTATGAGGTTCATTAACGTGAGCAAAACCGCCTCGCCAAAACTGGCGAATTTGGTCTTCAGGCTCTGACTCAGAAAAGCGAGAGTTATACATGCTTCTCGCGCTACTTGGGACCTAAGGTCGGTGCAGGCCTGTTCGAACGGTCGCTGTATGCTCTTTAGGCACTCGTGGAAATTTTCATAATTAGTGCCACCTGCGAGTACAATGGCTCTTAACTTTCTCATCTGAAAAAGCAGGAAGACAACGGATAAAAAATATCGTCAAGAAGAAAGCCACGAAGAAAGATAATCTTATTTTCTCGCGATACATACGCTATCCATTCTTTGTTTCCAATCCTTTTTATCGTCGCCCACAGTATCCCTGATACTCTTCATCTGTTCTTCGAGATCCTTCGCTGAGAATAGATTAACGGTAGGTACGTCCTCGAATGAAGTAATAAAGCATTCTTCGTCAACGGCTCCGGCTTGCGCTGAATACAAGTAATGATAGTTTATTTTTCTTTATATTCGCTTCGATACGGAAATACATATGTGCGCTAAAGAACTATACTTTTCATTCTTTGCACGTTTCTTTGCACGTTCAGAAATTGTGAATGATTATGAAACTAATTCTAAATTACATAGATTGCTATAAATTGCTATAAATTGCTGTGAATAAGCGGTCGCGAAATGCATTATAGATAAACAAAAAATATGACTGCATGTAATAAATAAGCACTGTATGTAGTTACATGTCAAAAATTATAAATGAGAAGCATATGGTTGATTAAAAAGCAATAACACAGAGGGTATTTATTATTCTAAGGAATTGATAATTTATTGGTAAAATTCTGCGTTGCAGAATTTATTCGCATCTAAGATTCTGAATTGCATCGATTATCTATGTAATCATTTTCTTCCGATCAAAAACATCTTCGGACTTTCCAAAATATTTTCTAAAATAGTAATTGCCAATAGTAGAATTTTGATATACCTGATGTCGATCTTACTGATTGAGTTCTTTTGATGGTCGCTGCCCTTGGGACTGTATAGGATGAAGTACCAGAAGGAGCTGTTTCATGCAAGCGAACAGTTAGCATATCCTCGTCATCGAAACGTCAACATTCGTTGACCTTTTGTTGGCGAGTTTCTCTGACAATGTATTGTTAACAAAATGCAAAAGTAAAGCCGCATTGCGGTTAAAACTAAGCGTAAGTAAGGATTACGGTACATATTTCCCGCGTGCGCTTCATTTGCAGACCGGGTGCTTCTATGATATTCGAGTCAACACTGAGTCATGACATTCATATATATTTCGAGTGGAAGACGAAGAGACACATCTCAGGGTAAGATACACGACACAATTGGTTACATAAAAAGCTTTTTTTGATTTGTACGACATAAACTAGCACTGCTATCATCGTTTCAATATAATTTGAAAATATATCCATGTTTAATATTTACAGTCTACCTAAATACGTCTAACAAGTTTTATAAATTAAAAATCACTCGTTCCACGAATATTAATATATATTGCTACTTAAAATATTTGCATAAACAGCTACTAACGAAAACGATTTTAGAGAAACTTGCTTTAATGTTACTTTTGCCATATATCATGCTTCCAAAAAAGAAAAAAAATAAATAAGAATTAAAATTAAGAACATTAGATTTGTGATATAAGTTGTAATAATAATTGACATTACATGTAAGATAAAATTTGATAATATTTGAATATACCTAAGGCAGAGGATGGTGTTCTAGCAGGCCCAAATTGACCTCTTTTCGGAGGCATATTAAGCCTTTTAACGGGAGCCGATTTGATCTGCAATAGACAAGTAATTTTTTTTTCAAAACGTTATTTCTATTTATAAATATGTAATGAAGCTGATTTTTCGGATTCGATACTTACCGCTGCTCGATCAAGTTCGTCGGTATCTTTGCCAACTGAAAAAAAAACAAAAAACAAACTGTCATAATCGCGACTTGATACATCTTTCTTATTAGTTCTGAAAATAAATTAGAAGATTTCGAAATTGCAGACTTTTTAAAAGAAGAGATAAAATATTCAGAAGCAAAATGATATCTACAGAAAATTATATTTTATTATATTCTATAATTTAACTTGGGATTTTAAATCAATATGTTTTATTTTGTTACAAAATGTAACGTAGGCTTTCAGCACATACTTGGAATAATTATTGACATCACCATTTTAAAAATATTTGTGTCAATTAATATTATATAATCGCTTTATGTCGATGACCGTCCTTTCGTGTGGCAGAAGTAATTCATATACCTAAATCTGGATACAGCCAAGGCGGCTTGTGGATGTCGCAGTGACATCCTCTCGCCCTCGCACCCGGATGCTTCACTATATTATCCCATTGCAGTATCCATCTGCTGCTCGCATCCCACAATTTCTTATCGATACTGGGATACTTCTTTAATCCCCGACGTAGGCAACGATGCCCGCTCGGTATTAACACGTCGGCGTCGTTCATCGTGACCGACGTATACGATATTTTAGCGAGCACAGCAAGGATAAATTCCTCCACATGTCGCAGTAGAATTATAACGACGTTGACATTTCGCCAGCGTCATCGTCATCTTAATAAACCAGTTGCGAACGTTTTTTTCGCCTCTATCTTCGATCACACTATAATAATCTTTTTTTTTTTCCCCTTTCAGAAGACACTGTAAATATCAACCTTGGAATAATATCGCCGTAATTAAATGAATAATTTGAAAATATTTACATTAAAATAATTTAATAATTTGCGACATTCACATTAATTTCACCTAATTACACGCTTTTTAAAGATTTCGTAAACGTTCTTCGACTTTTAATCAGAGCGATGAAAGATAAATAATCAATCGTAAAATGAAATTCTTAGATGCTACGACGATATTTTTTTCGAGGATGCGATAAAGAGCCAGTTTATTGCGCGCAATTAGCCGATTTATCTAAACTACTTACGTAACCAGTAGCACAAATGTTCAAATTTACAACTCCTTCGAACTCGTCAAGGAATTTCCGCTAATGAGTATCGGAAATCACGTAAAGTGTAAAAGTCTCGATATATTGTGGGAAAACCGGCGTACGTGCGAGCGATGTACGTGCGGTGAAAGTCTTCAATTGTTTTCTTTTCCTGCCAGAGCCACTTCGCATCGAATTCATTAATTTCCATATCCTAATTGGATTCCTGCGAGCGTGCCTTATTAATTCGCCGCTCCGCGCGAGCTACTCATTAGATCATCTAATCGAGCGCGTCGGATGCGCGGATTTAGCGAGGATTAATTGATACCGTGGATTTCGTTTCGCAGATTCATATAATATTCGTAATAGAAGACAATAACCCGAGAGTTATAGCGGCTTCAAATGCTATCAATTTTTAACAGCATTATTTATTTTCAACAGTTATAATTAGCGTAATTAACTTTAACTAGCTACAATTAAAATGTTTGCAAAATTACTTTATCGATTAAATTGATTAGCATAGAACGCGAATTTACTTATTTCTTTCCGCTTTCCCTAATATTGCAATATCTCGATAATTTTTCGAAGAATGCAATTCATCCCCAATTGATAAATCGCGTCGTCGTGATATCAAAAAAAAAAACTTAATAAACCATTCAGGGAAAAACGATTGGAATTATTGTGGCGTAAACCTGGCAATTTGTGGCAAACGGTAAGCGGCACTTACCGAACTATAATATATGTACTCTCTAGACTATCTCGTATTTCTTTGTCGGATTTCGAAATTGTCGGCGCAAGAGTTCCTAATGTTTACTCTTGCCTTTCTCGCAAGCGTCGTATTATGTATTTCCCGAGCATTCTTTGCATACGCACGCACGCACGCGCTCTTACATTAAGAAATTCTGTAATATCCAGGTGCGTTTACTGCGATAAAGACTCCTTCTTCTCCGGTGAGAACGTACGTATCAAGAATTTGCCGTGTTACTCGAGGAGTTTTGCTTGCACTTAAACCACTAATAAACTTCAATTCCCATGTTACTACACTTAAAACCCAACAATGACAATTGTTCCGTCTTCTCGCAGTAATTAACGTTGTCCAAGGCCCATAGCGCATAAAAAAACACAAGAGCAGGAACAGAAATTTCTTGCATAAGGCATAAAAGAATTAACTAGGTTTTTTTTATTTCACAAAAAGGAAGAAAAGGAAGGACTTCTTGATTGAATCATTTTCTTATGTATTACGCAAGATTGTGCTGCTTCCGCTCTAAAGCTGCGTCTACAGTGTGATTTTGAGGCGTCAAATTTAAATTTTAAACCTTAAACCGTAAAAAAATTAAACCGATCAATCATAGTCGACGATTCTCCTCACATTCGACTGCAAATGATCGATTTCTTACGGATTGAGGCTTAAAAGATTAAGTTATACGCCTTAAAATGTCATTGTAAACGTCGCTTTAGGCGATGAGACGTAAGCGCAGTAAGCAAATTGGTCAATCCAAAGTAGAGAACGTAAGATTATTATCTTACATTCTCTATGTTGTTATGTAGTTGACCAATTCGCTTACTGCTTACGTTTTATCGCCTGCTTGTTTATCTGGATTAATTTTTCAGAGTTTGCATTGGCGAAATGTTTGTAATTACTTCGAAATTATCGATGTGTCGTTAAGAAACACTGCGGGGAAATCGAAGACGATAACAATTCAGGCCGTGTGAAAGATGCCGGTTGACTTCTCCATGGAATCAGTTCAATGTTCTCAGACAACTTACGAACGCGAATTCACACATACCTGGCATTACTGCCAACAATCGATAGTCCAATAACAAAGCGAACTGTTATTACACACATTGCTAATAATAACACACACCGTACCGGAATCGAGAAATGCGATAGGTATACCAATTCCTCAGCTGTCGGCCGACGATCGCGACCTATTTATTAATACCTTCGATACCAGCTTCGGTGTTCTGCGGTAACAATGAATGTGCATTCACACGTGCCACGTAACAAGATCAGTTAATAGGGAAAACCCATTTTCTCACGTTACAGATAGCATCGTCTCGCGAGCTTTTTGCTCTCGAGTTCCACCGTTCAAACGTTGCCCGAGTTGCCGGCTGACTGTCGTGTCGGGAAGTTTCGAAACCGACAGATATTTGCATGTTCTGACAATCTAGTTTCGAGTAAATTTAACGGGAAATGTACGGATGTGTACAGTCACACAACTGATGGCAGAGAATGAAATATCTATCTTACAATCATTGTCCATTTTTATCGACGTAGTTTAATTTTAATCCCGATTCGACCAATTCTTCATCTTTTTCCTGCTCTAGAGATTAAAAAAAAAAATGAAGAGCAAAAAGAACCGGGATTAGTTAATTGATAGATTGATTGACATTGATAGAAATGGACATTGGACGTGGACGTTAAAGCGAAGAAAAAGTTATATTAAAGGCAATCATGGCAAAAAAAATTTAATTAATAAAACGTAAGCAATAAGCGAATTGGTGAATCACAATAGTCACAATAGACATAATCACTTAAGTCTTTTATGACAAGTTATTAATTTTTTTGTCTTATCCTACGTCTAAGACAAACTTAAGTATGCACGTACTCTCATTCTCGTTTGAAAGGATATGTCCGAAATTATTGAAAGACAAAAGAAAATATCCGTAATTACCGATTTATCGAGGGAACACGAAAGTTGCAGAATGAAATAAGCTAAACTGAAACGACGCGATACGCATCAAGTTCACTTGCAAGTGAAACGCGCTCCAACTTTACGTGGAGAAATAAACTGTATGTTTACGAATAACAAACAAGATCACGCTCAAAGAGATTTATGTAAAGCTGTGTTCTCACTGAAGCAACAACTGAGAAACTTCTTGTCGACGTGCAATGTTTCTTGAAAAAGTTGTCGAAAGTTTCATGACGTTTCTCAATATTTCTGCCAGAGATAAAAGTTGCTGTTTATCGTGTGTTTCCAATCGAAAGAAAATGCTCTTGGAATTTGGAAACATTCACTGACAATTCAGTAAGCAATAAAAAGTTTCTCGTTGCTTCTGTGAAAACAACTTTGGAGTGTTTTCCAGCAAGACAAAAAAAAATTGCATATGCACACAGGACACAGTGTACAATACAGTGAATCATTACATCCGTTTGTCAATGTTAAATAAAGATGAAATAATCACTATATTATGTTATGTCTTTTGCTTATGATTACAAGTATTCTTTTACGTTGATCTTACAGTCATCTATACTGATTATTTTTCAAATAAGTATTTTTCTAATTGCCTTTAAATACAGATTAAAAAATTCTTCTCTACAATTAAAGTATAAACGATAATGTAGTCAAAACCGGTCGACTTTATATGTATAAGGAAAAAAAAAAAAAAAAAACGGAAAAAAGTTGGAAAAACTCAGTCTTATCGACTTCTACATCGACTCGCAACAATATTTGCTTTATATACAAGTCTTATACTTTATACACTGAAAAAAAATGGCCTAAATTTAAATAAATATTTATTTGAATACTGCCAACTAAATATTTACTTACGATAAATAAGTATATACTTAATTAAAAGAAGTAATTGTTGACTCAAATTAATGTTTTTTATACCGAATAAATATATTTTTATGTTTAATAAACATAAAGTTGGTACTATTCAAATGAACATTTATTGAAATTTAGGATATTTCTTTCTCAATGTACGTATAAGACAATCTTGGTTTGGACTAGAAATTATAATGATTATATAAATAGTGTTGTGTTCTTAGAATTAGATATCTAATATAAAACACTGATTAGTCAGAAAATTTGTATGTGTACGCGATATTGATGTAATAGCGTGTCATGTCAATGACACATAAGTCGTGTGTGTAAGTCCTATTAAACCGATAATACAGATTACTTTATCATCCCCATAAGAATACTACTCTTTTCGAATAAAACTTCTGGTCACTAATTAAAAA